GAAGATGAGGCCTGACCTGGGACCGTGCTCTCTCGTAGCGCCCTTTGCACATCTCCAGGAAGGAGAAAAAAGGAGGACCTCTGTGCTCTCTTCATCGGGGGAGCATGCCTTCAGGTCCCAGAGCAGGGCTGTGACCCAGAGATTTATCCCAGGGACAGCGCCCGGCTGTTTGTCTCAAATCCCCCCCTTCCGATGCAGTGATGGGCCGCTAGGGACGAGGAAAAGCCGAGTGCAGCTCTTGAAAGGACAACACGCCAATACATCCCCCTCCTTGGATCGCCTCTTTGGAGGCGATGCTGGGGCGATGTCCGTCTTTCCTAGCCATGCTCCTGCTAGAATCACAGCCAGCTACATGAAGCGGGGGCACGCATCCACGTTAATGAATATCCTCCCCAAGTTATTTTTCAGCAGAGGCATCAGGAACATGAGGAAAATGAGCCTTGCAAAGCACGATGTCCAGGGAAGAGGCTTGCACAACCTTTTCTGAGTCTCAGCCACAGCTCTCAGGTCCCCGCCACCCACGCTCCTGCCCTGGCTCTCAGGGACAGCCCCTACCTCTGGTGTGCCGCAGTCGCACTGCTCTCCCCGCTCCACAAACTGGTTCCCACACACTGGCCCCCCGTACAGCTCATCTGCCCTGGGGACATTCAGCAGGCAGCTGGTCCTGGGGTCCCCGAGGAACTGCCACATGTCCTGCTCGCTGCAGCGGCTGAAGAGCTTGGGGTAAACCAAGCTGAAGGGGCACAAAAACAGGCAGACATGAGCAGAGATGAGGGCCTTTGCACCCACCAGCCCAGGGAGAAGCTGGAAGGCTACCAACAGACCTTCAAAGTGCCCACCCAGACCTAACCATCTCACAGTGCTGGAGGGTACATCGAGATATTCGCTGCCCACAGATATTCCCCTTTCCCCTTCACTCACCCAACACTCGCTGCCATGACACATCCTCCATCAGCTTTGGGGATGGGACAGCGGCAGCCAGCAACATCTTCATCATGAGACATCCCCAGGTTGTGCCCCATCTCATGAGCCATGGTGGATGCAGCACCGATAGGATTCGTGCTGTGGTCCTGGGGGACAAGAAGTGCAGAGTGGTTCAAATGCTCTCCACAGCATCTCCATGGGCCCCACTGGGGCTCTTCAACCGCTCAGTGCCAGGTCTTACTCCTGTCTGCAATTCGTTCCCTAAAGCTGCCATGCTGAGGTAAAGGAAGACAAAAGCTGGACTCAGGCCCCTGGCCCCTGAAGACCTCCAGACTGGGCTCTCAGGGGTGTCAGTGAGCTTACATGTAGTGTCTACCCTGAAACAACACTTTGTGGTAGTTCTGGACAACCACAGGTCCACGGCTGACTGTTTCCACTCCAGCAAAGGATGCCCTCCCTGCGGAAGGATGAGAAACACGGCCAAGGAGCAATTGCAAACCAAGGCCCAGCCACCTCATGGGTGGTGGGAGAAGCCCTGTGTCCATGGAGCTGCTCTGGGAGGCTCTTCAGGGCTCAGGTATACCAGAGCCCTCCGCAGGCACCCAGCTGGGTCCCCACCACTACCCTTCCTCTGCGGCCCTGACACTTCTCTGGGGTCAGCTGCTCAAGAGTTGGAGACGCCAGGAACTAGATCTAGCCCTAAGGGTGCGGAGGGGGAAGAGCTGGGAACCAGTGGAGGTGAGACCCGCTCTGAAAAATACAGTGCAGGGAATACAGACCATGGGACCACTACTGCCCCCCCGGCACACACCCAGGCAGTGGGACCCACCTGGTTGACACCGCCTGAGTCCCTGGTGCACATCGCAAGCTTCTTGGCGAGCCCCACGGTCGTGCCATGGAAGTCTATGCCCCTGTGGGATTGAGATGCCACCATGGCCACGTGGCTCAGGTGGCAGCAGGGCTGCACAGATCGCGGGGTGGCAGCCCCCCCCCCGTCCTTACGTGATCAGCTGGGCATTGTCGTGCGGCTTCCTCCGCAGCAGCTCAACCTCCCGCCAGTGGAGGAAATTGTCCAGTGTCAACTCTGGGTTGGGACTGACCACGATTTTGTCCTTGTGGCTCCACCCCTCCAAGCCAATCAAGGCCACCCGCAGGCGAAGAGGCTGATAAAGCTGGGGTGGGAGACAGCCCAGAGGGAGTGCTTGGATTTGAGCTGCACAAGCAGAGGGGAGGTCCCACCTCCCCTGGGGAACCACAACCAAGCCCAGGACCCCATCTCACTGTGCAATATCAGCTCTGTCATCCCTTCAATAAATAACACAAGCTGGGGCGCCCACGTAGACGGGGTACACCCCCGGACCTCTGGGCTCCCTCTTGGCCCGTGAAGGCTGGGGTGCTGCTCCCACACTGCTGACCAAAGAGTGAGTCTGAAGCAAGGCAAGCAGAACCCCCTCCGGCCTTGGTGCACTGCATCCATCACCCTCCCTTTGCTAGCACCTGCTCCAGCTTGAGCATGGCTGTGGGACATGCTCCTGGGGGTGACAAGAAGAAATTTCTCCCCCCTTCCCTAATGAGAGAGCTAGGAGACAGCCATCCCGTGCTCCTGAGGACCCAGGGCTGAGCTGCTTGTCATGCCCGCTTTGCACACCCTGTTGGCCAAGGGAGTTGGTTACCCTGTGTGGCAGCCCACCTATGAGCTTGAGATAGGCTCCAGCTCCATCACCCTACCAACGCCAATCTCTCCTCCGCTGGGTTCATGCCTGTGCTGGCACTGTGAGGCACGTGTGGGAGTGAGGAAGGGCAGATCGAGATCCCTGGACTCACCTTGTCAACATGGTTCACGATTTCCTTCATGCGGTTCTGCACTGTGCGCAAGTCCTTGTGTTTCCTGAACTACAGGAAGGACACAGAGAGATTTCCAAGCTGGCTTCAACCTCCTCACTGCAACGGGTGACAGCAAAAACGCAGGCACCAGCTCGCTTCCCCTGCGCTTACCTCCTCATTGTCCGCGACCAGGACCAGCTCCACATATCGGGGACCTTTCTGTAACGGAGCTGATTTCTGGAAGGGAAGAGGAAAGTGAGTGTAAAGAGGGGCTCAGCTCTGCAGCTTGCCAAGCCCTGTGGTTGATACTCCTGTGGGATGAGTTGGACCCTGGGGCATCTTCCAACGTTATTCAAGGTTAAGTAGGTCTTCTAGCTCTGCTTCCTGATGTTACTTTGCTGGGTGTCTCAGACATCTTCCAATATACAAGGAAAAACCCAAGCCTGCTACCAGGATAAGGCACAAGAGAGGCTCTGTGGGCAGGACGGAGCTCATGGGGTATGCTCCTGCTAATGGTACAGGATCTGAGGACTTGTTCCCACCAGGAGCTAGGCCACCAGGAGCAACCCGTATTTGGTTACCCAACCAACAACACGTGGAAGAGGAGCATCTTCAAGAGATGCGGTATGGCCACACTCCTCTCCTGGACTTCACAGGACCTAGGCTCTTGCAAACTTAACTACAGGAAGGGAAAGCAAAGCAATCCTTAACCCAGCGGTAGAGCTTCATGGCTGCAGGAATTTTTGGCTCGTGGTCATATTCCAGGGTGGCACCAGACTCTTGGCACGTGCTGCGCTTCCCCCGCAGGTGAGCTGCTCTGTACACTACATGCCGGCCAGCCGTGTCCTCCTCCAGGGGCTCCAGCAGGAAGGTGGTCTCATTCACTCGGAAAAACCCACTGCCAAGAGACAGGGCAGGCGTCAGGTTGGGGAGATAGCCAGCAGGGCACGGACAGACCCTTCACACACCCACACAAGTGCCTGTCATACAAAATACAGCTGTCGAATCCCAGCTAGGAAATCACCCTACCCCTTCACAGTTCCCATAGGCAGCTTGGAAGAGGTGCAGGCCACTAGTGGGATGTGACAGTCAGGTCCTTCTGGCTACATGCATGACACCACACTCAGTGCAAAGCCCCAGGCAGCCCTTGGGCAGTGCATGAAGCCCCACGTCACTGTGCAGAGAGGTACAGGGTGCAGGAGCTCACAGCAGCAAAAGGGACTGGATGTGTCTTCCCTGCAGCCTCACATCGAGGAGGTGCTGCAGGACCGAGCTGACCTGGGACACGCCGGGAGATGGGGAGCAATAGGGAACATGTCCACAGCATTTGCTTTTGGAGGCTGCAGAAACACCAGTTGAACAAAAGGATTGTTATGGAGGCTGGAAACCGGCTGCTGGGCTGGGAGGGAGCAAACCATGGCACGGCATCCATGGCTGGTAGCAAGGGGAGTATCCTGTACTTCGGGCAGTAGAAATGTCCCAGCGTTCAGCGAGGAGAACTGCCCAGCACTACCAGGCCAGGTTTAACACAGCATTTCTGCTGAGCAGCCTTGGCCTTCAAGATGCTTTCCATATGGTGTCCCACATTCCCTGTCTGTATTGTCCTTGTCTCCTCTCCTGCCCGTGTACATCTTGTCCTCCTACTATACAAGGCTATCGAGCGTCCCATGTATGCGCAAGCTGTGCAAGCCAAGGTCTCGAGACACAACCCCTGCCCTCAAAGTGAGGAGATGGCTACCACGCAGCTCCAGCAGGTGTTTCTCCTGCAAAGAGGTACTCGCAGGTCCCTCAGTGCTCCAGGGACCATCTGTCCCCCTCACACATCCCCCTGCAAGGGACCCCTTCCTTACAGTCTTATGCTCTTGCAACATCTGGCTGCCAGCTCATCTTAAAAGAAAGAGAAGAGCAGAGCACGAACCTTCCATGGCAAACTGAGCAACCTTGCATGGACCTGGTGGCTTGGGTTACTCTGCAAGGATGCTCTCTGCCATTAAACGTAGGCAGACCCAAGGCAGCTTTGGAGGAATGAGCACCAGCACACGCAGCAGCCGGTGGGCAGAGGGAGACACAGCTGGCCTGATGCACCTTTCTAATGCTTTCCTTTTCTTTTGGAAAGGCGCTCGACCATCAGCTCTAGGAGCTTGGCATGGCCCGGAGGAGACGCTGGCTGCCTGCAAGCTGTGAGCACACCTTTGTGCCACTGGCTTCAGCACTCAGGGTGAGTTTGGCCCAGCCTGCCCTGGGAAGAGAGGATGGATCTGGGATAAGCTGTGCCTCACTGCCCAGGGAGGGCACTCCTGCCTGGACCTCCTGGCGTGCTCAGGCTTCTAGTCTCATCCCGTGCCATGAATCAATGCCCCGAAACAGCAGGCTTAGCTGCAAAACTCCACGCGTCTTTCCTGCTGGGCGCCGAGCCAGGGTGGTCAGCACTCCCTCTGCCAACGGGAAAAGGGATGTCGTCTTCTCTTCCTCGGGGGAAAGCTGAGCGCTCCCTCCATCAGCACAGCTCCAGCTGGCCGGGGCTTGGTCACACCAGCTCACCATTACACAGCACCGCGTCTGCCAGGAGCACCGCCGTGGCGTGCACCGAGGCCAGGCTGGGTGCTGTCCTCCGGCCAGCCGCAGTGCCCCGGGGAGTCGGAGGTCCTACCTGAGCCCGCTGCAGGTGCTGATGCTCACTGCCGAGTTGGTGTAGCCTTGCACGTGGCCCTGGTAAAAGCAGTGATCCTGCCGCCGAGAGAGAGGAGAGGTGTAAAGGGGGTCTGCACCAGGCACCGGCATGGTGGGACCCCGCAGGAGAGGGAAAACTGCTCTCCCCGGAGCCAGAGCCATACCTGAATGTCCGGCTTCTCTGTGATCTCCGTGCCATCGGCCAAGTAGTGCGTCTCAGTGTAGTGCTGCCCCAGCAGCTCCCTGCAGGATGGGAGATGGGCATCAGCAGTGACACTGGTTTTGGGGAGAGGATGGAAAGCTTTGGGGATGAGGTTGGTCAGGCTGGGTATGCTGGGCTCACGACCTCCCTGGGTAGGTTTGGCAAGGAGGAAAAAAAAAAAAGCAATATTTTGCAAGCGAGGGTCTGGGCTGAGGGCTTAGATCACCAGTCTGGTGGTGCTGGACCTGGGAGAAGTGATGTTGGCGGCAACAGTGGGAATCGAGCCCCCCCCCGTCTGTCCCGCTGTGCCCACCCGCACTCACTTGTTCTTCTCCAGCCACAGGAGGTAGTCCCTGCCTTCAGCATGGACGCTGTAGAGGACACGATCCGGGTGGATGCTCTGCATGAAAGACAGATGACAGCACAGACCCACCATCACTTGGAGGAAGAGCTACAGAAAGGGGATGGGCTCTGCGTGCGCCCTGCTGGAAGGCAGCCGCGGGATGGGGAGCCTGGCTGCTTACTCTGGAGGCATCCAGCAAAGAGACAGGAAATCAGAAGAGAAGAAAGAAAGCACGTGGGCAATAACACAAATCCCCAGCACATCCTGAGACAAAGAACAGGTCACCAGCAATGGAACAGAGTCAGCAAAGTCTGGTTTCCCATGTCTGACACATGGCTGCAGATGGCCGTGCCAGAAACTGAGGTTTCCTACTCATCAGTCACAAAGCTCCTTTTCCGGGGCCTGAGTTCAGCACTTACTCACAGGCTGAGCCACAAAGATCCCCGGTGCCCAACATCAGCAGAGACTTCCTTATCTGTGACTGATCTAACATGCAACATCACGGCTAGAGAATAACCCTCTCTTGGTTCTCATCTGCTACTGAGAGCAGATTTCAGTATCACCATGTGCCAGATCCCATGAGCATCACCCTAGGTGGAAGGGACCTCAAGGCATCTCAAGTCCACCCTCCAGTCACTATGGCTGTGTCAGGGCGGCTGTGGCTCAGCCCAGCTGAGCCCTGAACCCCCAGGATGGAGATGTCTCTTCAGAAGAAGTGTTTCCCTCTGGGCTGTCTCGTGATCTCCATCCGCAGAGGTTGGGCCACAGACCTCCAGAGGTCCCGTCCCACCGGGGCAACTGAGAGAGACGATGATCCCTCGCACGGTGCCCCGTACCAGGCTGCACCCTTGGCACCAGGGACCTCCTCAGCCACCACCGCACCACAGAGACCTCTCCTGAGGGCACATCCTCAGCTCTTACGGGATCCTGGGGTGGAGAGCTGAGCAAAGGGCAAAGCAAGCGTCTCCCGCAGGGCCAGCATTCCTCCGGGATGAGGCGTGCGGCCTCTCCCAGGGGAAGATGACAGCACCTGCTGTCACACGGTGGCTCAGCACTCCCAGGGGATCTGCAGCCTGGCAGGAGGTAGGGCTGAGCAGAAAGTCCTGCTGACTCAGCGCCAGCGGGGCCCGGTAGGAGGGTTTGCCCATCATGCGATTGCCCTCAATTCTACCTGTTTTGTGTTTCCAAATCTGAAGCAACGGGCTGCCGGCCACAAAACATCCTCTCCACATGCCAAGCAGGTTGCAACAAGCCTGCCAGGCGGCCAAGCAAGCCCTGGCTGCAGGCGGGGGCACGGCTGGCATGCGGGTGCACTCACCGGTCCCCGGGAAATTCTTCTCTTATGAACAGTGTCTCCCGCCTGACGTGACCGTCCCGTTCCATGTCCGCCAACAAAGCGATGCTTTGTTATTGTTGGCAGTGCCGGAGCCAGAAGAACTCTTAAGAAATGGCAGGAAAGCACTTGGAAGGGGGTGGTGGGTCAGGGACTGTCTCTTGGAGACAACCGCAGGGCAAGTTAAAAAAAAAAAGTCCTGATTAAGCTTCTGTGAATCACCCCCTTCCTTATTAGCATAGGCTTTGCAAGGGCTCCAGATGGGAAGGCTTTGGAAGCGCAGGCAGCTCAGCCCTGCCCCAGCCCTGCTAACCCCGTGACCGTGCTGAGCAAGCAAAGCGGAGCCGTGGCCACAGCACACAGAGAGGAGGGTTCTCTTCCAGATGGTCTTACTAAGAGAGGACTGGGACATCCTGCCACCATCCCACCCCAGCACAGGGTAGTTCTTCCTGGGGTGGAAAGACGAACAGGTCTCGTTAGGACAGCAGGATGGAGCTCATTGCACCACGCCGTGTATCAGAGGAGATGCAGCTTAAGAGAGGAGGAAAAGAGGGCAGGTCACTGGGACACCACCGTCCTTTGCCCCTGCTCCATCCGGCCCCACCACTCACCCTGCAACGCCCTGCTGCTTCCTGCAGAGCCCCCGGCTGGGCTGGCAGGAGCTGGGCTGCCTCCACCCAGGCAAAGGACTTGCCCCTTTGCATCAGCTGGCTCTGGGATGTGGTGGGGGAGATCAGCAGGGGTGTGCGAGCACAGGCGCATGGCGGGGAGAAGCCAGCAGCTTGCAACACAGGGTCTTACACGGGTTGGAAACCACCCTGCCGTTTCAATACAGCTCTCTCTCTGAAACACTGGAGCATGGGGACGAGAGAGATGTCACTTCAGCAATCAAAAGCATGTAACTGTAAATGTTTTTGAAGGCCCTTCTTGCTCTTTTTTCAGAGAAGAACCCAGGTTTGCCACGTGCCCTGTCGTGCCCCTGCTAAGGGCGGGTGGGAGGAGAAGCCAGTGGGAAGGCATCCCAGGAGAGCCTGTGCTGCGGGACCCAGGTCTCCACGCTGCCTGCAGGGCTGAACATTTTGATTTAAGCAAAGCCAGAGGGGAGCTGATCTGCTTCAAACCTTACCTGGCAGATGCTCTGCTGGACCAGCCCCATGTGTCCCAACTGCTCTGACCCAGGAACAAGCTCTTGGCCCATGCCCATCCCAGCCAGAGGCTGCTAATGCAAAACCACAGGAGGATCTGGTGCAGAAAATGCCCGTCCGGCTACCTGTCTCCACTTCAAAAGAGGGGCTTGGTGGTGGTTAAGCCTTGCTCAGAACCTCTTCCCCACCAAGGTTACTGGGAGAGCAAACCAAACTTTCGTGGAAGAGGAGAAACATTACTTGAAAAGCAGGAGACCTCATACTCCCAACACAGCAGGTTTGGGAGGTCCAAGGACCACCCAATCCAAGACCAACTCCCGGTGCCACCCAGCAGACACCATCCATGGCTGTCCTAAAGTACACAGCTCAAGGTAGACATATTCTCATGTGCCGTGGCAAGCAGAGGGACCCCGAGATGGGTGAGGTCCCCTTTCTGGGGGGATCGGTGCAGAGCCGCCCGGCGCGCCCAGCACAGATGGTGTCTCTAAATAGCCTGGGGAATGTTTATCTCATGGACAAGTTTAGGTTTCTAGAGCAGAGAAAACAGATGCTTTCAGGGAGTGTTTTTGAAGGTAGTTTATCAGAAAGGGTGTGAATCACAGATGAACGTGCTATAGGAAGACTTTACTAGGAAATAAATGTCCTCAGCCCCTCCATCTCATCAGGTGCTAAAGTCAGTGCTTTTCGTATCAGCCGATTTTCACTTTAAGGCAATGAGGAAAGCATCTTTGAGGTCAAGGCCATCATCCTATGGACGTCAGCCCCGAGTGCTCAAAACTTCTGAGTCAAACCCCGTTCCTCTCCCCAAATTACAAGGTTTTCCAAGAAAAATAACACTGGCTTTCTTTCATGTGGGTTTCTGCAACTTTCTGATTCTTATTTCCCTGTCCCAAAGGACACAAAAAAAAAAATGTCAGCAAACGCAGCAAGAAAAGTGCTTACAGCTCAATGAGGTTTTGCAAATCCCTCCTTAAGCAAAGACCACATGTCACAAGATCACTGCGAGGCTGCAAGAGTGGCACTGCTGGGTAGTCTCCAAAGAAAGCACTGGAGAAAGCAGGCCCCCCCCTCCAAGAGTCCACCCTGCTATCCGCAGTTCCTGTTTTGACCCAAAACAGTCCAAGAAACCTGATCTGACCACCTACTTCAAGATCTCCATCATCTGTGGTGGAAGCAAAGCAAGAAATGGTGCACCACGTCATTCTTCTGGCACAGGGCTAGGGGAGTCCAGCTCCAAGCCCAGTGGTGGGCCAAGGGGTCCATCTCCGAGCCCAGTGGTGGGCCGAGGGTCTCTGCTGATTGCGACACCCCCCCCCACTCCCAGTCTCCCTGCAAGGCAGCGAGGGTGGCTGTGCCAAGCCAGTATTTGGGAGGTGATGCTACTCACTGATGGCGTGGAGAGGTCCCTCTTCCCTCGAGGCGCCAGCACCTTCTGTGGCATCACTGTCTCATACTTCTCCACATGGGTGAGCTTCTCCTCCAGCCTGGCAGTGGTACCTGGGAAAAGTGAAAGAGCTTTGAGGCAGGATGCCCAGGAACAACCAAGTTTGGGGATAGTAGAAGCAGCCAACATGAAGGTACAGGGAAGAGTCAAAATAGCAGGTCCTGAAATACCTGCTGGGGATGCAACGCCCTGATGGGCTGCAGGGATGCTCCAGCCCACCCTCCCCCCCCAGCCCCGGTGCCCACAAGGGTGCTCAGCATCATCCGTGGGCGAGCGCTTCCCTTCAAGGCTGGAAAACCGTACTGAGACCCTGGTGCGTAAACAAAGATGGAGGTTTTTCAGCTCTCCATCTTGATGCCACGGTTTGTGACTTGGAGTCTGGCAGCTGCTGGGGGTTGTATTTTGGAGAACAGCTCGCGTCTGGGCTGGCTCAGCCCTCCTCCCATCCTTTTTTTTTTGATGTCAGAAGGGAGAGATTTCTGTAATAAACGCCCCACCTTCCCCAGGAGCCCAGAAGCGGGAGCTCGTGCTGCAGCCGTGCCCGTGCTCCCCGGGTTAGACGGGGCCGGCGGAGCCCCCGGCGAGGCGGCGGCAGCGCAGGGTGCTC